CATTCCCATCGTGCTCACCGGACGGGAAGCACGTTGTCTTTCGATCCGGGCGATCCGGCCACAAGAACCTCTACATCCTCGATGCCATCGACGGAGAAATTGCCGATAGTCGCGGGATTCAGCGACTAACGGAGGGCGAGTGGGTCGATACGATGCCAGCGTGGTCGCCGGACGGCGAGCTGATCGCGTTCTCATCTAACCGGCACAATCCGGCTAATCCGGAGGCTTACAGCATATATTTGGTTCGACCTGACGGCTCGAACCTGCGACGGGTACACGTTGCCGGGCCACCGGGGTCTAATAAGGCCGATAGGGAGAGAATCAACCATGTCTGCTTCAGTCCGGATTCGAAGTGGATCCTCTTCACGGCGAACCTTGGCAGCGTTTTGGCCGAGACGGTGTCGATGCCGAACCAATTCCAACCCTACGGTGACCTGTGGTTTTGTCGCATAGATGGAACCGGCTTAACACGCCTAACGTGTAATGCTTTTGAGAATGGTACGCCAGCTTGGCACGCTGGTGATCGGCTTCAGGACAATGGTTTGATTTCGGTGGTCCCTGCCGCTGGTGAGAAGCTGAGGGGTCAATTTGAAGAGCCTCTATGGCTAACGTGTGATATATAGTATTTTTATGGCATCCATATGGCTGGTTCTTACTTCTTACTCCACTCTTGATAATGAACTTTTATTAGGTGCCGAGTTGTACCGAGTTTTTCTTTTTTTCTAGGAAAAACTCGATACAATTTTTGCATAACTCGGTATTGATCGGTATAATTCGGTATTGAGTCTTCACGTGATGGTATTCCTCGTTATTGTTTGATATTGCTCGGTATTTCTTCGTTTTTTGGCGCGATCGGACGTTTCTCTACGTCCGGTCGGAGAACGTAATAATTGTTCCTTGCTAATAGGTTAAAGAAAAAAGATGGTTCCTACTGGAATCCATAAAAAAACAATGGCTCTCACCGTTGAAAATCTCTTCTACAGTTGGCTGCTAGCATTAAAGGGTTTATTACTCTACAAATCAACCATGTCAGTAAATTTTTCTTTCTTTGTTGGGACCGTTGGTTCCATAGACAATCTTTAATAGATTTCTTTGATATTGATATTGGCTTTCTTAGGCCTCGTTTGATTAGGTTTATTTCCTCTGTTTTCGTTTGAATAAGTGTTAATCAGTTCGTCGTAACTGTTTGGAAGACAAATTTAACCGTAATCAATTTTTATTAAACCATGTATTTTGAGTGGTTACAAAATTTTTTTGCTGTCTGCTTATTCGTTTAAACAACTCAGTTTCGCTCACCAAATGTCTGAATTAACCCTCGACGCTCTCACGTCGACCCACGAAACCTTCGTCTTCTTCAAATCGCAAGACAAAAAAACTGTCACTGTTTTTTTAGCTCCTTCCATCCGGACTCCCGAACAAGACAGGCTGCTGCCGATCGATTCTGAAATCTCGCTCGATTCGTAATAAAAACCCCGAACAAGACAGGCTGCTCCCGAGCGATTCAGGAAACCGAACCATCCCCTTTCGGCATTTTCCGCGTAACCTCCTAGCTGAAACCGAATTCCCTACCATCTCTGATCTTTTCTTCTTGCTCCTTCGTTGTTGTTCGACTTTGCTCCTTCAACGACGTTCCCTCCCTGTCACGAAACTTTAGGGTTTATCGGAAGCAACAATGGTAGATCGCTCGCTCAGAAGGTAACTTTCTTCGTTTCTTTGTCTATTCATTCCGCATTGAGATTTATGGGCACAAATCTTGTTTGCCAGGATTTTGCAAAAATCTTGCTCGAATCCTGCATAAATCCTGTTGCTAAACATTCCCTAGTGATTTTTCTTGTCGCAGATGCATACGCGGACAATCTAACATTCTCCTAATCTTGTTAATCCAGGTTCTTTTGCTCTTGGAATTCTCGCGCTTGGTAGCTCGTTCAGAAGAGGCGTTCTTCTTTCTATTTGAAGTGGTTCAACTAATTTCTTCCGATCATCAACAACGTCAAGCTTCTTCCATTGTTTCAGGTGATTCACTTACCCTATTTTCTACTACTGCTTATTCTATATGAAGTGGTTCAACTAAAACTTTCTTTCTTCCCTTACAAAAAATTACAACTGTTAATTATTATGAGGCACAATTTGATACAATATGTATTATTTATAAAAAATAAATAGTAACCTACAATTTGAAGTTTTTTAAATCAATAAAATGATTTTGTTCGTATAAATAATACAACCATCTTAAATTTTTTTTTAACATCTAGATGGGAAATAAAAAAGAAGGATGTGCACCTGCATCATGGGACATAGATACGACTTTAACATATTGTGATATATGTATAAGAGAAATAGAACTGAGAAATAGACCAACTACACATTTTATTAAAGAATGTTGGAAAAATCTACTTAAAAATTTCAACGAACGCACTGGACGAACTTATGACCGAAATCAACTTAAAAATAAGTGGGACCAATTAAAGAAAGATTGGAAGCTATGGAAAGATTTGTTGCGAGGCGAGATTGGAATTGGTTGGAATCCAATTAAAAAAACAGTTGATGCTTCTAATGATTGGTGGAATGAAAAACAGAAAAATTGCAGGTATCTCTCACATTTGAAATCATTCACTTTATACTGTAAATTCAAACCAACTCTTACGTAATATAACACATGATTTATAATTAATCATTTGTTGTACTTTAGGTAATGCCAAATGCTAAGAAGTTTCGTTTCAATGGAATACCATCAGAGTTGTAAGAGAAGTTGGATCTTATGTTCAGTCGTATTGTTGCAACTGGGGAGAATGTTTGGATTCCTAGTTCTTGTGTACTTCTCCCAGAATTAAATGACAATCAGACAATCTCATCTGAAGAAGAAGAGTACACTCAAGATGAACAAACACATCTTCCACATGTTCCTACAGGCAACTACGATACACAAAGATCACAACAGAGTGCCACATTATTGCGTAAAAGGAAAAGAGTTAGAACTCCTAAGTCGGGGACTAGAGAACTTTTTCTAAATCATGTTGAGGACCTCGTGGATGCTGCAAAATCTATAAGTTATGCGATAAGTATATCAAATAAAAATCGTACAAAATTTACTATCCTAAGGTTTTAGAAGAGATAGCTAAAATTCCTGATATATTTGACGATTTTGAGTTATATGCCTTTGCCTTAGAATACTTTAAAGATAAGGATAACCGGGAGATATTCATGGGTATACCCATTGAAAGAAGATTATGGTGGCTTTGAAGGAGTTTTGATAAAAGTTTCTTTTAACTGTCCATTGAAGAACAAGGAATAAGCAAGTAGCTAATAGCTCCGTCTCTTCTACGTAGAAATCAACAATTACATCATGTTTTATGTTATGTTCGTGTAGTTGTTGTTATTGTTCTTAGTTAGGTTCATAACTTACTTCCTTTGTGTTTATTTAGGTTGTTGCTTATTTCTATATATGATTCTGGATGTAATTATGTTATGTTACTTTACTAATTCTTCATTCTACTTTCAGTAGTGGGACAAAGGCTTGTTGTTGTTGTATCATTTTTTGCTAAACTCATTATAAGAGTTGTCACCCCCCTTTAAAAACCCTTTTTTTTTTTTTTTTTGATTGCATTTTACATGATTTATTTTTAAACTCCACAAAACTTCTTAAATAATCTTCTAATAATACTATCCATCTTACCACAGATAAAATTGAAGAATAAGAAAAACTTGTTGAAGTAGATGAATTTCCAGAAAAAGAATATGCTCTACTGCAAATAACTGAGATGAGAATAAAATCCAGAGAGAGAAATTAACATGTATTTGCAGCCTAGTTTTCACTACATCAAAGGGAGTTGTAAAAAGAGCAGCAGTAGATCCAGCAAGACCTCCACAAACATGCTTCTTAGATGAATCAAAATAGGAATAAATATGAGAAAACAATGTACCATGCATGCACGTACATACTTCTCAGAACCAGAAAGACCTCCACAATGCTACTAGTGCTAGTTCACAATGAATACACAAATGAATAATAAATTTGTCAATTTTGGTCACTGGAAAAAGAGCTATAGAACCAACAAGCTAATAAAAAAAGGCGATGCTAAAACTGACAGAAATGGAATGCAGAAGAGACGAACAGGGAAGCAAGACAGAGCAGGTAAAAGAAAGATAGAATATTATTGATTGATTACAATATGAGGTGTACAGGAGAGGGTTCTTTATATAAAGAAATATAATGGCAAACATGTAATAAAATGAATATAAGAAACTGTTCGTTTACAAAAAAACTACAGATGGTAATTCATCGAGGAACATGGACCTTGTTCGTTTTTTTGTGATATAAGTAAGATTTTTTGAAATTCTTGTACCTTGTTCGATTTTTGTCTCGATGTGCTGAAACATGTCTCTTTGAACTTTCTGAATTCTTGGACCTTGTTCGATTTTTGTGATATAAGTAAGATTCTAATTAGAGCCATGCTGTTTGGGACCCCTAATAACTAGACTAGCAATGCTCGGCGTTTTGCCAATTTAAAAATAGACCCTTCATTGCATCATTTAGCTATGAAAACACAATAAAGATATAAAACAAGGTCTACAGATTTCCACTAATTACTTTGTACATTTTCGGACATAATGAGAGTATTAGATCAACATGTGAACGATTTCAGCACTCTACAGAGACGATTAGTAGGTTTTTTTATAATGATCTGCAAGCATTAGTTCGATTATCAATGGAGATCATTGCACCTGTAGATAAAATTTTCCATGATATTCCTGAAAAAATAATTAATGACAAATGGTACATGCCATACTTTAAAGATTGCATTGGTGCTATTGATGGCACACACGTTGATGCACGCATCTCTATTGAAGAGCAGGTCGCTTATATTGGACGTCATCATTCACCGACACAAAATGTTATGGCAACATGTGATTTCAACATGTGCTTCGCATTTGTTTCACCTGGTTGGGAGGGTTCGACACATGATGCATGTATATTTAAACATGCAGTGATGGATCCGAAATATAATTTTCCTGCACCACCTCCTGGTATTACTAATTTATAGAATGAAATTTTTATATTTATTAATTAGGTTATATTATATTCTAATTAACAAATTTTTGAACAGGAAAGTTTTACTTAGTTGATGCAGGTTACCCTCTACAAAGGGGATATTTGAAGCCATACATTGGAACCAGATATCACTTACGTGATTTTAGAAGAGGTAGTAGAACTATTATGGGACATAAGGAGCTTTTTAATAGTAGACATTCCTCACTAAGAAGTGTAATTGAACATTCCTTTGGTGTATGGAAAAAGAAATGGGGAATATTAAGATATATGCCTAATTATAGTTTTAAGAAGCAGCGTCTTATTGTTATTGGTACCATGAGATTACATAATTATATTCGACGACATATATCACGAAATGATCCAGATTTCATAGACTGTGACGTTGATGAAAATTTTATTCATCCAGAGGCATAAATGCAGAGTAGGATAGCAAATTGAAGAAAGTAATGTGTTATATGCCAAAGTAGAGTTTGGTGATGACGAGGGGGTGAATGAAATGATTGAACTGAGAGAGAAAATTGCATTTGAACTATGCAATTAGAACAGGTATAATGAATATGGGAACTGTTTTTTTGTAAATATGAATTTTCAAATATTTTAATACAAAAAACCTGAAATATTTGTTTAAATTTTTTTTTTGTAACATGAATCAAATTCAGTTATCATCCTGAGAAGGAGATGATGACATGGTTGTTTAAGATTTATTTAGGAAAGTAGTTGTAATGCTATTTGTTTATACCTTTGATGAACAATTGTTGAAATTTTATTGATGTAATATTTTTTAATACATACACATTTAAATAGGTGACGTATCAAGCCATCAGCTACGAAGGATTCCATTCAGATTTGCGTTTGATTCTTTGTATTTTCTCAATTTCAAAAATAATTTATTTGATAAAAAATAAATTAATTTTCCAACATAAAAATATATTTTTTGTTTAAGTTGAGTTCTTTTTATAGAAGAATTAATAATGAAATATTGTAAGTATAATAATAAATTAATATGATTTAAATTTTTTCATATTTGAAGTAAAA